CAAAGAGAGCGATGTCTGCCCCAAATGAGTTGATCACTTTAGCAGCTAGTACGAAAACATAAAGTTAAAATTTACTTAGTTACTTATTTAACCAAAGAACTATTAAAAACATTCCTCCATAGTTTTGCTAAAACAAAAATTACTGAATTTGTTGCAAGAAAAACCCAACTGAGTTTTATACCTACCAAGATGTACTGAATAATATGGTTTGAAAGGTTTTGGTTTCAAAGCGAACGATATCTGACATTGAATAGTTGATCACTTTAGCAGCTAATAGGAAAAAATAAAGTGAAATTTATTTCATTACTCATTTAATACTAAAACTATTAAAAACATAAAATAAAGATGTTTTTCAGAGAATAGTTAATCACTTTTAAGTTTTTTATTAGTTTTTATAACTAGTTAGGCTTGGTCTGCCGATTGTAAATTTTTCATCATTAATTTATATCAGGAACTTATTTCAAATAAAATAAACACATTTCTGAATAACTTATTTACGAAAACAAAACACAAATTTTCATTGATTTCCTATGGAGAAACATAACTTCTCTACGCTGATAATCTAAGCGAGTTAAAAATTTTATTTCCATTTTAATTTCCGGTTTAAATCATCATTAAAATTCAAAGCGCCTTCTTTAAATGTTCATAAATTTCCCACTTGACACAAACAGTACACGACGGCCAATGCAATAACTCAAAAGCGACCAAATAAAATTCCCCAAACACAAATAACAACAATAAAAATCTTTTTATTGGGGCCGTTCTTTCTATGCCAATACGAATACGAATGCCGTGCAAAAAATCACGGCGTTCGCTTTAAAAAGCCGTAAAATATACCTAAGTGAAGCGAAAACAACTGGAAATGGAATGAATGGAACCAAGGAAGAAATGTGGTTAAAATTATGCCATAACAAACACATAAATTTTCGCATTTACCACCTGCACGAAAACAACAAAAGACGCCCCCCGAAAAACATAACCTAAAATAACGATAAAAATATAGTATAAGAAAATATAAAATGCAAAAAAAAAACTCATACCAGATAAAAAATAAGCAAACAACCAAAAAAAAAACAAAGCTGGTAGCAACGAAGAAAACAAGCTAAGACACTTGTTAAGCCAATTTGACGTTGTGCTCGCTCTGTGCTCTTTAACAGCACCACCAACTCCAACTCTACCCGCGCTCAAGGAATTGTTTCAAAATTTTCGCCATTTTTCAACACTTTTCATGGCGCTGAAGTTGGTAAAACGTGGGGTGTTCAGCGTGTGTAAGTGTGTGTAAATGTAGTGGCACTGCAAATTTAACAAGCACTTCTTTACCCATACACGCATAAAGTAGCATATTAATGGCACTAAATGCATACACACACACATACTCCATTCTTGAACTACATACACACGAGCGTATTTGCTTGCACTTGTGTGCTTATAAAGTTATAAAACAGTTAAATTTAAGTGGCCAATAAAAACAAAATTGTTATTGCCGCGACTATTGTGCGACGGCGAATTTTATGCGGTTGGCTTTGGCTGTCAGCGCTGCTTTAGCGCAATTGAAAAAATACTACTCAAACCGAAAACCGAAACCAACCAACAAAACTGCCAAAAAGCACAACCGACGCCAGAACTAAAACTAAAAACTTAAACAAAAACTTACTGTTAAATAATATTTCAGCAAACGCATTTACAAGCATTCATACATACACGGACACGCATATATGTGCGCATTTATGAATTACAACTGCTTGCCTGCATTTGACGTGGGGTGCGTAAGTATGTGCGAAATGTTTTAATGCATTTCGGTGCTCAAGTGTTTATGTGTTGAGCAACGCCATTTTGGTATTTGAGAGTCTTTGAACGTTTTTAGTGCTCAATGGAAAAAGATAACTGTTTTTGATTGCATTCAGGGCTTGTTACTGAAGAGTTCGCCCCTGTTGATTGTTGATTTTCGAAGTATCCAAAGTGAAATTCACAACATATTTTATTACTTACTTCAGCAGATGAATGAAAAAACTGATTGCAATAGTCAATATAGTTTCTGATTGAGGACCAGAAGAGAGATGGAAATGTTGCAAAGATGAATGAGAACTTATAATAGGATCTCATAAAAAATAAAGTACGTAGGATGTATTCCAGATAGTGTACTGGTATTTAGGTCAATAATTGCGTCTTCTTCATAATTCTGAGAAGCATACATAGTCATAAAACTAACCGGTTGTCAACCGATCAACCTAAAGACCTGACTCGATTTTGCAACTATAAAGTGATATATCTCTTTAGTAGGCTACGATAAATAATCTGCAAAGTTATAGTGCCTAATAATTATTAGTTGGGTTATCATCAAACTGGGTTGATGTCGAGCGCCTGATAGAGGTGGTGAAACTAGAAAACATCGAAACAAAATCCACAAAATCGTTTTGGAAATTTATGACGTGCAGTTGCAGAAGATCGCTAAAACTGAGACCTTAAAGATTTTACTAACGCTCCGAGTCTGTTTCATTTTGCATGAATATTTGTCATGCTGTTTACAGGTGTTGGAGCGAATAAGAACCTCGATATGACTCGATATATAACAATGGATGAAACTTGAATTTTTCACATTACTCCAATATCGAAGCGGCAGCAGCCTGCAAAAAAATAATTTTGTTTTATATAACGACAATCTTTAAAAGAGCAACTACTCACGCTACCGATAGCGATTGATATTTGGCACAACTGGAGCGTTTGAAGAATGAAATCGCGAAACAACAACTTCATACGAAGAAGAAAAAAGCCATTTTTCTTCAAGACAATGTGATACATCATAAATCGTAGACTATCATGGCAAAATTGTACTAATTACACTTTGAATTGCTTTCGCATTTATCGTATTCGCCAGAAATAGCCAGAGTGACTAGTCCTTATGCGTAAACTCGGAATGGGATTTGGCTCCGTTAAAAAGTCGTCACCGAAAATGAGGCACGTTTTAAGGTCAAAAATGAATTATTCTACAATAGAGATATCGAATTGTTATAATAGCACTGAAATGATTGTATTATTCTTGAATAAGACCGTATTAATGAATGAATGTAATTTTTTTTCAAGAAGTTATTGTTTTATTATAGTAGTTATTCAAGAAGTTATTTTACTTTTATATTGTATGAATATGATTGGAAAAATTTTTTCATTTAAAATTTTGTCATTTTCAGTTATATGTGCAATTAAGCTTATATATTTTTTTTTTGATACAAAAAAAAATATTTTTATTGTAGTTTTGTAACTACCAACTGAATTGACATAAAGAGCAGTTGCAATTGATTGATGAAAGTACTACACTGCAAAAAAAAATTATTGTTTATTTAATTTCGCAACATTTTATAACTTAATTGCGTTAATTGAAATTTACTTTTTATGTAAATCATTTGGAATATCTTTTTTATATATAATTTATTTACTTATCCTGTTCTTTTTTTTTTGTTGTTATTTTGAAATATTTGTTAAGTACTTTTTGTGAAAGTCAGTCGAGAGTGTAAATATTAACATTTAATGCCGCAAACATAAATAAGCAAAAGCGTATTAATATTGAACTGGACGCAATGTGCATATAAACGCAATGCACATTTGACTGAAATATTTACTTGATTAATTTTCTGCATTTAACACATAGCGAAATCAATTTGAAGCGAAAATCACAATTAATTAAAAGTATAAAATCACAATTTACGCCGATAAATGCCGTTGCAATTCATTTAACATGTAAACACGGCAACACTGGTTGAAAGTTTGCTCAAAGTGTATTTTACGCAAATGTGCTATACGCTGCAT